TAGCCTTGGCAAGAAACAAGCCTATAATTCTTAAAACAAAATCTGATTTAGGGACTTCGAAGAACTATTGGAAACAAAATTCAATATCCTCTCGAAATTCTCAAACAAAATAAATTGATCATATGATAAAAATTTTCTATGTTGTTGTTGTAACCCGCTAGGACCTGTAAGCAGATGACATGAAAGGACATACAAGACGATTTTATGTGTAGGGAAGTGGGCGGATAGTGATTGGGGGTGATGGAGGGGAAAGAGTATGGTGTGGATTGGGTGGGTGGGTATAAGTGAACGTTATCCTGGATCCAGGCAGAGAAACATAGCCACTTCAATGGGTTGGATCCAAGGGTTAATTGAACGGAGGTTTCTGTGTGTAATAAGATAGGAGAACAGATGTGCGACGTCATGGGGAGAAGAGAAGAACTCTCTATCATGTTGTTTTCTTGTCCTAACAAAAACTCTGGTTTGCTTTCCTTACGAATTATGAAAGTTGAACGATAGTGGTAAGCGACAGTCGGACATGGTAGACCACTGTTCGCATTTTATAAGATTAGTAAATATAAAGCACAAATTAAAGAATATATCAAATGTATCAAATAACCAAATATAAAATGATATGATTACTGTATTCTCATGTCACTGCTGATAGTAAATTTCATACATTTTAAGAGACTGTTGCTGGTGTTGCAAAAATGTGGCGATTAATAAATTTAAAAAGCTAAGAATATTCCAACATCCTACCCGTATATTTAAAATTTATTTGGACCTATACAAGTTATGAATGTAGAAAGTTTTAATTGAATCGTTTATATTTAAAAAAAATTGAGATTTACTGAAAAAAGATGAAGAAATAGATTTCACGAATATGATAAAATATCGATACTCGGTTATATGACAGTTTGCGATCTTTAAATTGCGTACTTAGTAGAATAAGGGGAACGATCAAACGAAACTTTTCCGTTTCACAATGTTGGGCTACACAAACCGAAACATGTACAATGTGATTCCAATTTCATTTAAAATCTTTCAGACTTTATTAAACGTTAAAATGTAAATTTTGAGATTTTTTTTATTAACCGAATTAAGATTAAAGACCGATTAACTAAAAAGTTATTCATTTCGCTGTCCTGATTAAGCAGTACTGTTTTAATGACATGTGAAATAGAACTAACATCCAAGGTTACATGTGTTTAGTTTAAGATTTAACATTTTATAATATAAATCGTTTAGCAACCGCTGAACATGTTACAACTTACTACGAAAATCACTATTCGGTAGTACATTTTATATCGACTTTTCGTCAATGATAAGGCAAGCTCATTTTTTGCTCAGTTCAAAAGTTACTTTTAAAAAACCACTGCAGTCTCATAAACCCTGTGGTCTGAAGGTGTGATGCACACTCTACGACTTTGTCTTATAATCCCTACAGATTTCTTGTGTGATTGATTGTTTAAAATGTCATTATGCTTTTAATTACTACTAAAAAGCTTGAACTTTATATATAACTCTTCTAAGTTTACATTAGCAGCAGTTTGCTAGTGACGATATTGACCAAATCAATGTAAACGAAATAAAATTTTTTAGAAGGTTTTAGTATAGAACAAGTTGAATCGGCAAGGGTCATGTTAACCTTCACAACAATTTTTTAGATTAACTTTGAGATAAATAAAAAAAGACGCACGACAAAATGTTTTTGTGCATTATATACTTTAATGATCAGATTTAAATTCAATCCAGTTTTTTAAGAGGGGTACGAATAATAAAATGCTGTATTAAAAACACTGAATACACTTACAGTGAAGTTTTGATACCAATATAATCTTATAATAAAATGTGTAAACAAGGAATAGACTATCTGATGAACAAACAATTTTTTGTTTACTACAAACACGAAAACAATAAATTTTTAATTAGAGAAGTCGATTTTTTTAATTAAGTTACTTATATGTGCACGCGAACTGCTTTGTAAATCATACTCACAAGGAAGTACGTTATCAGTAAACTAACAAATCAATGTACTAAAGAGAAGCATTTAAGCATTAGCATTAGCTCCTTCAGTGCCAATGATTACAGTGCCAAAACCCAAAAGATTTCGAATCCTATATGCTATAAAATCACATATATCAAAATTGAGAGAGTTTGCTCATTTTGTTTACTGGTAATATATTTTCAATCGATCAGTTTTCCTAATATTTTTGATTTAATGACACGCAAATAGACAAGTGTAGGTAAAAGATCCATAAGTGCCTTACTGCAAAAATATTTTCGCCAGATATTACTACAATTAAATAAAATATCAAAAGAGTGCATCAAATAATATTGGATGATTGTATAAAAGAAATTGGACTATGTACGAACTTGCTGACTTTGTTGACACTTTGGCTTGTCCCTCTAATAATCAGAGGGATTTTGTGCCAAATAAAGTGGACCTGTTAACAGATACATAACTTTTGATGAGACGTGAAACCATTGGTACACACTTAGTTGTACACTGTATTGACAAGACAATATATTGGCACATACTTTGATGGTCGCTATGGCTAAGACTTATAACCATCAAATGCAATCAAGTAATTATTTTATTTTTAAAAATCTTAAAATCTTGTTAAATAATGTTGTATCTTTCGTAAATGATTGCACATTAACTGCATTAAGTGCATTAAGTTAACATGCATATTCCCATGCATCATTTTTGTATTAAAATACTACTCCTATGTAACTATATTAGTGCTAGTTGCACAATTTACATATTAACTAATTTTAAAAATAAGTTTAATTAACGATAAAACTTGTAAGATATCATTATCTTGTTTATTTGTATAAAATAAAATAAATGTTTAGATTAACAAAACATTTGCTCAGGTAAATTTATGTTTTGTTTGGATTTCTTCCATTAGTAGGTTGTTGCTGTTTGTCGATGATGGAAATGAGAGAGTGGAAGGAATTGTTTATTAGCAAGTATGGATTGGAAGTGGGTGAAATTTAAATTGAAGTGAATCTGGTTCAAGGTGAAGAAACTTACGCACTTCAATGAGGCAAAGCCAAACTTCAATGATGCAAAGCCAAACTTCAATGAGGCAAAGCCAAACTTCAATGAGGCAAAGCCATGGAAACAAATGGATGACATTATGGGCAATAAAGTTTCAATTAAGGCACACATTGGAAATTGACGCATTGTAATTAGTAGGGTAAAATCTTTGAAGTGCGATTTTTTTGTATAAAAAAATTAAGTTTATCTTAATAGATAATGTATTGTGTTACTATTATACTGCATTCAGGTTTTGTTTTTAAAACAATTATGAAATCAAAATTGACTCACTTGTATTACAGCTTCAGACATCTTTTGATTGCCACCATATATACGATTTAGAAAATGTAACTCCTTGAAGTACCATAAAGTACTTATATTTGTGTTTTCTATTGACATACGATTACACTCGCGTTTATAAACAGTGCGCAAATTATCCCATTTCCTCGTAACAGCATCCTTTGCTAGTGAAATATTGAAACGTCGTTTAAACTCAGCTGCTATCCATTCCAGAAACTTTTGTCTTTTCACACGATCACGAAATTGAGGATGACGATGGTCCCACAAAAAAGAGTTACGCCGATACGAATCTATTACAAATTGTATCATTTTACGATCTTTAATGTGCAATGTTAGTCCTTTGTCCTTTATATGGTGAATGTTTTAATATTATTTATTTTATTTATATTATTTAAAAATGCTTACGCTTAATAATGATTCCTCTACTTGATTATCATAATTAGGGTCATCTTCATCTTCATCGTCATCAATATTACTTACATCTGGTTCTTGATCTTGTATGTAATCATCTTCGACTCCATAATCGTCGAAACTATTAAAACTTTCATTTAATAATTTATGTTGATCAATTTCTTCTAAACTGATATCTGCGTCTGGCAGTTCTGCTTTGATTTTACTTAAAAATGATATCGCAACATCTGCAGCTTCATTTTCAGCTGAAAAACCAGTAATTAACGGTGCATCATCTTCATCAGGCTCCTATAAAGATTATGACGCATAAAAACTGTCATACTATATTATATATAATTTAACACATTACTTATACTTACCTCCAGTATTTCCTCTTTAACCATAACCATTTGTGGTTCTAACAATGTTGGATCCGTGTCATTAAAATCTTCGTCTTTCCCATTTCCATTGCCAATGCCACTCATAATATCATTTTGCATTTCATTATATGTACCACCGAATATACCCTGCTCTTGGGCTGGATGCTCGATTTGCATGTGCCCAATAAACGCATCGAAATAAAGAAACTTTTCTGTACAAAGAAGACAGCCAAGCGCAAAGTATTGTTGATCTTCTGTTGTTGTAATAACACCGCATTTTTTCCTACAAAATTTGAAAATCTCTTCTTCTGGTGGATAAGCTAAAGTACTCATTTTTAAAAATTGTATTTTTAGCAATTAAAAGACGAATAGACAATTTTTTTTACTGCATGAAACGCCGTTTTAATTATTTTCCAATAATTTACTATCCTAGTTCCACCACCATTTCTCTGACGACTGATATTTTAATTAATATATATTGTGTTAAACAGCGTTGCCAATTCCCTCTTTTGAATAGAAAGAAAACAGAGTACTTATGTTGAAAAATAGTAAGACATTTTGTTG